GCCCTTCCCCCGGCCGCCGCTGCGAGGAGAGAGCCCGCCGCGCCGCGTCCTGGCGAGGGCCAGGAAACGCACGGGGTCGCTCCCCCGCTGCCCGCGCCCTGGCGAGGGCCCCGGGTCCATTGGCCAAAGGGAGGTGTGCACAAGTGTGTCCTGAGCCTTAGCAGCGCGGCGGGTTCGCGCCCCGGCCCCCGCGCTGCCAGAGAAACCTAAATTCCGCCCGGGAGAATCACGACCTCTCCGGCCTAAAGCTTCCGGCCCCTCAGGAAAAGCGTCGGGGGAGACAAGTTGGCAACTGATGTTAAAAAGTAGCGTTTGCTTTTCAAAAGTCATTTTGCACGCTTTGCATTTCCAGAGGGACGAGCTTTCCTATGAAACCGCAGTTCCCCAGACCCCGAACGGGCGAGTTAGAGTCCTCCTGTAAGCCCGGCCTGGCCGCCGGCGCAGCGCGGGGGCGGGCGCGTCTCTGCTTTGTGGACGCACGCCCGGAATCCCATGCCCAGCCCTGCACGTGTGGGGCTCGGTTTCCCTACGTGTGAAATGGTCGTCACACTCTCGCCGCGTCTCTGATGAGGAACCGGCTTCAAGGCCGGAGGGTGCTGTGTCGGGCTCACCTGGGAAGGGGCGAGACATCTCCTCCGGGGTCTCCTGTCCTTGAGAGGACTTACCCGCGTGAAGGGTCTGAATGAGTTTTTCAGAGCGAGCTGTGGACTCTTAAAGCTCCCGTTCCTCGTGTGTGTGTGCACGTGTGTGTGTCTGTGTGCGTGCACGCATGCACTAGCTGGAGGATTTTGCTTTGCAGGTAGCCTGGTGGCTGTCCCAGGTGTCTGTCGCAGGGCAGCAATGTGGTTGGAAATAAAGGAGACACTTGTTGAAGCAAACAGGGTGATGAAGATTGTGGCGCTGGGAAGCCCCTACCCTCCCCTAGCCACCCCTGCCGGCTGTGGCTTCACACAGCTGGAGCAGCCACTGGGCCTGTGGGGTCTCTCCCTGTGACAGCTGGGCGGAGCTCACTGGGTGGTTTGGGCGGCTCTGCAGCTCGTCATCTGCAGAGCAGCTTTCGCCGTTTCTCTTGATCAAAAGCAGCCTTCCATTCCTCCCTGGACCTCCCTCCACCTTCCTCCACATGTTTGCTCTATGAGGTATTTTATAGAAAGGAAAGTTTTCGGGCCTTTGTTTAAATGTGTGCTGTCCAAAACAAAACAAAACAAAACAAAGCCATCTCTGCCGATCTCCGAATCCTTGAAACCAGTGTTTGGGAAGATGAAATTGTTCTTGGGAAGTTCCGTGGGTCCGGCAGGACCCAAGAACTGGACTCATTAAAGTGAGTGGGAGGGACTATGATTGCACTGCAAAGTCAGTGAGGGGCCAGACAGCGGCAGTGGTAGTGCCACTGGACCCGCATGGGAAGGTCCTGGGTGCACCAGGGTGCGTGTCCCCTACCTGGGGAGGCTGGAGTGGGGCTGATGGCAGTGTAACGACTACTGAGAATACCTGTCTCATTCAGATCAACCAATAAACAAATAAGTAACAAACAAGCAAACCTTTAAACATAGTTTAATGATAGTTGTTAGCCACATGGGAACCCCTGGGAGCTTATATAGGACCACGGTCCCTTTTCTGAAGTCTGCAGGGCCAGTGTTTCTTAGGGTTCAGACATATCAAGATTTTTGGATGGCAAGATGGACAGAAGGGAGGGAGGAAGAAGGCAGAGGGAGGGAGTGGGAGGGGGAGGCACAGGGCCATGGCACATGTTATAGTACCCTGCGTCTCTGTCTGGGGCCGTGTCCTGCCATTTCACACATGTAGTCTTGCATGACACATGTCCGTGCTCACATGAAAGAGGGTGATAAACCCAGATAGCTTCAGTCCGCTTTAGCTCAGTAAATCGGAGGAAAACGAACTTCCAAACCTTCGGATCCTCAGCACTCTGGGGAGTTGGGGTTTCTGGTAAGGGATGTGGGGCCTGTGGCAGGTGTGTGGGGGGGAGAGCTGTCAGAATGGAGGGGCCCCTCTCATGCCTGTGTTCATGCTGCCAGCAGAGGATGGTAGTCATTCCGTGTCCTGTGTGCCACACACAGTGCCACATGTGTACCCAGACACTTAACACATGTGCATACGTGTGCTCTTTCTAACCACCCCTTCCTGTCCCTCACGTCAAAGCTCCTGACCACGTTTCAGCTTCTTAGACCCAGCCATGCTGTTGGGCCATCAGACTGTGGGCCTGCTCTGGGTTCTGCCTCCACCCCAGGTCCTTCAAGTGGTTGCTGACAAACTCCATGACCTGCCTGTCAGCGCAGTGCTGTGTATACGAAGCTCAGAAAACAATCAGCTCCTAACACATGAACATTCACATATAGAGATCACAGTTACCGCCATGTATAGATCCATCAAAACATCACAGGGTACCTGATAACTTCTAACAATTTTTGTTTATTTAAAGAAATTCTGTTTCTAGTTTGCTTGGAATTGCCTGTGGAATTTTGTCACGTGCTCTTTTGCATCTAGTGAGATGATCAAATATTCTCCTTTACTCTAAAGAAGAAGAAGTCAGGGTTTCCAACTTCCCTAGCTTGTGCTGGTTCCCATTTGGGCCGCATTGTGCCCAGGTTCAGCGGGGCGTCCCCTGGAGGTGCCTTCCTTCTGACCCTCTACTTACCCTCCCTTGGGCCTTTGAGTCTGTCCTCCGCCTCTTCGCTCTCTTTCTCCCTGCTAGCCGGGCGAGGTGGTGGCTGGACAGGCGCAGAGTGCTCAGAGCTCTCCGCGACACCAGCGCTTCGCACCTCTGCAAGAGAGGTTAAAGCGAAGCCTTCGGATGGCTCAGTCTTTCATCCGTCTGTACTCATCACAGGCAAGGTTAATACAAATGAGCCTCGGCTATATTAATTGGAAGGAAGGGAACTATTACTGAATTAATGGTGTAGATGGAGCATCTGACTGATGGGATACTTTTACTGCAGTCTGCTTGGTTTCAGAGGAAGGCTTATTAAGGTTTAATAATAAGGTTTAATACGATCCCGCCTTTGAGTCTACAGTTCTAAGTCTGATACAGGCCCGTCACGTAAAAACACCAGCACATGCAGGGCACAGAGTCTTCCATCAGCCCCAGAATTCCTCTGCTGCTTTGCAGCCACCGCTTTTCTCTGCCTTTCACCTCCAGCAGCCACCGATGTATTTTCTGAACCTAGCTTCACCTTTCCTGTAGTGTTGTAAACGTCGGCTCATGCCGTGCGTCGCTTTCAAGTCTGCCATCTGAGCATCACGCGCCGGACATTCCCTATAGTTCTGTGGCTTGATCTCTGCCATGCTGAACAGTACTCCGCTGAATGGACTCCCCACCACTCGTGTACATTCCCCGGCCGAAGGACGTTGGAAAGGCTGCAGCGTTTTGGCAGTGATGACAACGGTCTGTAAATACTCAGGAGCAGGTCTTCAGGCGTGTCTGTTTCCACTTCTGCTGAGTAAACATGTAGAACTCGTATTGCTAGGTGTATAGAAACTGTACGTATAACTTTATAAGACACTGCAAACCCTTTCAAATATAGTTTTTATTTATTTGTTTAATTTTTTAGAGGTTTTTGCCTTAGGAAGCATGTGCTTGCTGGAGAGAGAGAGAGACACACAGTGAGAGGGAAAGTGAGAAGTCACCCCTCCCCAGGGGGAATGGCCATACCGCAGTCCCTTCTCAGGAGCAGGTCTTCAGGCGTGTCTGTTTCCACTTCTGCTGAGTAAACATGTAGAACTCGTATTGCTAGGTGTATAGAAACTGTACGTATAACTTTATAAGACACTGCAAACCCTTTCAAATATAGTTTTTATTTATTTGTTTAATTTTTTAGAGGTTTTTGCCTTAGGAAGCATGTGCTTGCTGGAGAGAGAGAGAGACACACAGTGAGAGGGAAAGTGAGAAGTCACCCCTCCCCAGGGGGAATGGCC